GTCGGCCAGAGGATATTGTTCTTCAGAATAGTCCTCTTCTTCCTCTTCCTCTTCTGACTCTGACTGGAAAACTGTTTCTTTGCCCTTCCCATCTTGATTGTCTTTCTCACCGGATGTCGTCGCAAAGTCTAAGGCCCTTCTTGTCTGTCTTTGTAATCTTTTTCCCATGTTTAGAACTCCGGTTATTTTCTCCGTCTTCTTTTTCTTCTCTTCCACCAGCAAGGTCTTCAACTCTTCTTGTCCTTTGGCCAGAGTTAAGAACAAATATTGAAACTGTGCATTCTGAGCTTGGAGGTCCTTCACTGTTTTCTTGAGATCCATCTTACTGAAATAAACAGTAGAGAGATGAGGAGACTTGTTGCAAGAAACCTGCTTATGTTATGATGAATGTTAAATGCATATGCAATGATTTCAAGGATTTTAAAGATTCAAATTTGTTTTAGATAAAAAGGAAACACACATTATATTAATAAATTAAAGCTTGGGTACATCAACGCCTCTTTGGGCAACAAAAGATACAAAAACTCTAAGATAAAAAGGTAGTACGCATCCTCTTTGGTGCGATGTAGGCATTCAGGCTCCGCTCCTCATGAAGTTGCTTAGTGAGTTCCAAAAACTTCTTCTCGCTAGCGTAGAATTGGGCTTTGAAAGTGTCTCGCTCCCCCTTAAGCTGTATCCAATCCCTTTGTAAGTCTTCAAGAGAGGTGGGCATGTCAGGATGCAGGATAGTGTATGGAACATCTCCTTCCATAACAGGCTCTATGATTACCGAAAGAATGGAGGGGTAAGGCATCATGAGACTCTGAGCACGAGTTCGTACCCACTTTAGGTAAGGCTCAAGAGGGATGGAATTCTTGTGCCTCAATGTCTTGCTATCTACCTTGTTCAACATCCTCCAAGCTCGGATAAATCTCTGGCGAAGACCTTGATTGTCGTTCTCGTAGTCAAATACTAAACCTTGAATCAGCATTTCATGTGGACCATCTCTTCAGGCGTAACCAAATTGTCTTAAGGCTAAGCAGGGGTTGTAGGTGATACCTCCCATAATGCCAAGTAAAGGGAAATCAGGGAATTCTCCACAACGGTCGACAATAGTAACATTCTCTATGGATCGGGAACACCAATGAATGTCTGAATGTTTGAGCGTCATCAACCTCTGTGACCACCTTGACCCTTGCTCATTCTTAAATATATATTAGGGAAGATGTGAAATAAACCATCTTGCCAAAAGAGAAGTACAACACATAATAACACCTCTTTTCCTCATTGTGCGAGTGTGAAAAGAGTGTAGGATATCTCCTAGCAAAGTAGGCACCGGGTTGCGGGATATAAAGATTTTGACAGCATTCCACTACAAGAAAATTGGCAGATTGCGAAAGGTATTTTGTAGATTACGATGGTTAAAACCGTCGCAATTTGCTTTCCACGACGATTGCTTTACCGTCGCAGAAGTGTGTGTCCCCAACCTATTTCGCGACGGTTACAAAAACTGTCGTTCAAGTTTACGACGGGTTTGGAGCTGACATAATCAAGTATTGGTGACTGTTTGATACCGTTGTGACTATCTTTTGAGTTTCTTTTAATTATTGATGGCGACGGTTCGATACTGTCGTGAATATCTTTTGAAATTGATTAAATTGTTTATGGCGACGGTTCGATACCGTCATGACTTTTGTTGATTATTTTTAATTGTTGATTACGACGGTTCGGTACTGTCGCCATGACTTTTGTTTATGTCTTGATTTTTTTTATTTTTCTATTATATATATTTTTTATTTAAATTATTATCTATGTAAAAAATTTTAAATATAGTTTTTTTTTGTGTTATTTTTTTCTTTAAATTATTTCTTCTTTAATATATTTATTTATAGTATTATTTTTTGTTTTATTTTCTATCACTTTGTAATATAGTGAAAATAATTTCAATAAAAAATATTTAACATCAAATAAGCATTATAATATCCAAAAAAATGTGTGTTCCATAATCATGTAAAATGCGAGTTCCATAATCATGTCAAGTAGTACAAAAAACCCAAAATATATCAATTCCTAATCTTATAATAATAAGTATCATTATGCCAAAAATACATGAGAAAGTTCACAATCTAATTATCTCGATCATAGCAAAGTCTAATTTGTCCCCCCTGAAGTTCCATTATCTCCAATACGGTAGCTAGACTCAGATGAACATCTACCATCAGCGAGTGATTCCAATCCCTAAAAAAAGGTATTAAAATAATAATCTTTAAAATAATACTCATAAAATTTAACTTTAAATGCGTCAAAATAATATACCTGTCTTCCACTAAAATTATGCATTTGCATTAAGAGTTCAATTTCCTTTGTCCTCGCCTTGTCCCTTTGCGTTAAGAATATGATTGCCTGTGTTAATTCATCAATTTTTGAATTCTTTTCTTTAAGTGCATTAATTTCTTCTTGCATTTCCTTTATTTGTTCACTTTCTGCAGAAGAAGATGTCGATCTCGTAGATCTATTAATTTGAGATGGTGTAACTCCAAGTCCCATACTACGAACATATCCATGCTTTTCTTTTCCAAATACTTTCTGAAATGCCTCATTTTCAGACACAGAATCCTTAATTGCAGCTTGTAATTTTTTCTGCACATGAAAAAGAAAAAATTGAGCTATTGTTTATATAACAAGAATAATATATTGGGGGAGAACCTCTTGATCAAATCATGGACTTCCATATATACGTAAAAAGAAGTTGGCACAAACTAGGAGGTGGCACAAACTATTGCAATTGGACTTGAATAATACTGTTGGTATATAATTTTGACATTTTTGCCATGAATAATAAGAAAGCAGTACATTGAGCAATGGTAAGGATTGTTATTCATTATTATTTTGAGTCTCGATCCCCTGCCCCTCCTCAAAAATATCCCTTTATAATATGTATTAAGTGTAGTAGTACTGATGCTTTCAACTTATAATATGTATTATCTAATAGGATTTTTCCAGTGGTGAGTTATATTTGGGATGGTTCTATTACTATTACCGTTTTTTTTTCCAGTATTTCAAAAGAATTAACTTGTACTTACATTATTGTTGTATGCATCTTCATTGATAAATGACCCGTTAGGCTTTTTATGAGAAATTGCATACATTTCTCCTCTGTTGTATGTTCGTCCATCTCTCATTTCCTGCAAATAAAAACTAATATAAATTGTTTGTACTATCAAGCAAACGATCAACAACATATAGATTTATACATACCAACTCATGTTTCTTCCTTGCAAGCGACTTAGATCCGAGTGTATGCGGAGCCTTCAATTTTGCTCTATTTTGGGAATTTTTTTGGGATATTTTCTACATTTGTAACAAATAAAAACATGCATTATAGATAGAGATAACATACAAACCAGAGAAATCTAACAAATAAAAACACTAATGTTACCTGTGTTTTTTCTTTTCGCCTATATTGAACATAAACAGCCCAGTCATTTTCAGGAATGCCTCTACATTTTGGATAATTTTGAAGATTTTCCTCCAAAGGGAGATCCCATCTATAAAATTCGTGAAACAATGTATGCCGGGCATCCTTCCATTTCCTTGCAGCAGAAGCAAGTACAAAATCTTTGTCACGCCCATCATCCACAAGAAAATGGCGCTAAACATAAAAATATATTAGTTGACAAAGGAAATAATAATCACCATGAAGTTAATTTAAAAAATATGTAATTGTTTATTAATAATACCTTTATCTTTGATTCATAAAAATTTGTTTTTGTATCTGCTGGAACATTCTTCCAACTCTCAAACATTATGGGAATATCTCTAAACATTCTAATAATTATACCCAAATATCCTGCTAGCAAACCAGAAGTCGGTCCTACTGCACAATCATTCTTATTGAATTCAACTATTATCCATGTTCCACCAGGCTCTGATTTTGCAACCAAGTCTTTCACACATAAACGTGTGTTTGAAACATAACCTTCCTCGTCTATCACATTAAAAAAGTAAACAAATCAATTTCATAACTCAACTATGTAAAAAATTTAAATTATTTATAGATACTTTAACCTTAAATTACTTACTAATGACATTTACATCCCAATACTCAGATTTATCCACTTTAACAACATCTCCAGTCCCATCTCCTACCACAACATCTTCAGCCTCATCTCCTACCACAACATCTTCAGCCTCATCTCCTAATACAACATCTTCAGCCTCATCTCCTACCAAATCATCTTCAGCCTCATCTCCTACCACAACATCTTCAGCCTCATCTCCTAATACAACATCTCCAGTCCCATCTCCTACCACAACATCATCAGCCTCATCTCCTACCATGTCATCTTCATCCTCATCTTCTACCACAACATCTTTTGCAATTTGGATTGACGGAGGGGTTATTGTAGTTTCCATTGGTGGAGGGGTTGTTGTAGTTTCTATTGGTGGAGGGGTTATTGATGATTTGCAAGTTGTAATTAAACGTAGGCGCTTCTTATTTACTTCAAGCTCTCCAGGTTGTACAAACCTTGAACGGCCCTTCACAGACTAAATAAAATACATTAGTGAATATTAGTAAATAATAAGTACAATTAATTTGTATGGAGTAGTATAGAGAATTTATGACTGACCAGTGATGGTTTGGAAGAAGACTCTGATGATTTGTGAAGGGATTGAGAGAGTGTAGGAAGATTGAGAGCCGCTAACTTTTTCTTATTCTCTGCAATTCTTTTGAGGCGACTATTCTCATATGGTGTAGTCATTGTCTCACAAAAGGCTTCAACTGCAAGTATAGGTATTAAGTACACTAAAAGTAGTAAACATCAAAATTATATATTAGTGAATACAAATTTAATAAGCATAACATAAACACAATAAATTAAAAACATAGAGTAACAATGTCATCTAACATATTAATTAGGGATAAGCAACAAAGAACATAGAGTAACAATGGAATATCATACATTAAGTCTCACACAAGTTACAAACAAACTAGATTCTTATCAATAAAAAACTATATGTTAACTATTGTCATCATTTGTCGCTGAAGTTCCAAGATCATCATTTGAAAAGATTTGTTCCAAATTTTGTGATGGATATGGCTCAATGGGTGTCATAATTTCATCATTTCCACCCATGTCATACAAGTCTCTTGGCTTCAAATGAATAGGTATGCTCCATCCTTGTTCACTCTCATCATCTACATAAAAAACCATATGAGCTTCAGATGCTTGAATATATGGCTCATTATCTTCATGTTCACTAGTATGTAGTAGTCTTGCAAAGTTTATAGAGGTAAAACCCAACTTATCTATCTTAATTCCTCTTGGGTTTATGGTATTAGCCCATTCACATTTAAACATGGGCACTGTGAAGCCATCATAGGAAAGCACAATAATATCTATTAATCTTCCATAGTAAGGGACCCCTCCAAATCTCATTTGGGTATCACTATTGCTTGAATAACTTCGTGTCCCAAACATGCCAAAAACTCCACTATTTTGAGTTTTTAAAAGATTGTCTCGTTCCAACGTTCGAAACTTGAATCCATTGACATTGAACACGGTAAATCTTTTAACTTTATCAAAAGGTCCATGAGCAAGACTAATGAGAACATCTTTATCTGGCCCATGAATGTTGTCAAGATTGTTGCGAATCTATACATGATACAACATTCAATTAGTCTTGTTATTATTAAAAACCAATTCAATAAAACATCTATTTTTGTATGAAAACTCACACGATTGTTGAACCAATGCGCAAACTCCTTATGAACCTTCTTGTCTATCTCAGTAGCACTTCTTTGACTGCGCCTCATTTGGTTTTGAGTAAAACTTCGGAACTGCCTATTTGATTATTCGATATTAGATGTAAAAAAATATTAATAGTATAGATGAAACTACTTAAATGTAATAAAACTACATACTTTAGATAGTCGTCAACTATTGGACAGTTTGTTAAAACGTGTCTATGAGCCTGCAATTTTTCAGTTGGTGTTAGGGTGTAATAAGAAGATCCACCCACAGGTTTTCCAACTCTAGGAAATAATTCAGCTACACGTGAAGCAGTTTGGATATCATCAATAGGGTCTTCATCTACACGTCCAGGTTGATTCCATCTAGTCTCAATATTTTCTAGATATCTTGAACAAAATGTAAGAATCTCTTCAAAACGGTATCCTTCTGCAATAGACCCTTCTGGTTTTGCCTTATTACGTACATACGATTTAAGTTTTCCCAAGTACCTATCATTGAACCACAATAACACTAGTTAAAAAAACTTTCTACTTTCTAATTAAGTTAGTAACATTAGAACAAAATCACATAGTTTACCTTTCAATAGGATACATCCATCGATAATGAACAGGACCTCCAAGTTTAACTTCTTCAACAAGGTGAACAACCAAGTGGACCATAACCGTGAAGAACGAGGGAGGAAATAACATTTCCATATGGCATAAAGTGAGGACAATATGGTTTTGCAATTTTTCCATGTCTTCAATTTTCAATACCTTGGCACATAATTGTCTAAAGAATGAGCACAACTCAATCAATACTACTGAAACCTCATGAGGTAATGTTGTGCGAATGGCTAATGGTAAAAGTTGTTCCATTAATATATGACAATCATGACTCTTCATCATTCCATTCACCTTGAGATTTACTAAGTCAATGCATCTAGAAATGTTGCTTGAATAACCATCAGGCACCCTAATATTCTTTAAAGTCATTAAAAAATTCCTTTTATTTTTACCTGTTAAACTAAAGGCAGCCGGAGAAATTTTACCATTTTCATCAGGCCAAAGATCAGGTCTTATGCCCATATTTTGAAGGTCTTCTCGAGCTTTATAATGGTCTTTACTCTTTTGCCTATCATTCAGTAGAGTAAATAGGACATTATCGCACACATTTTTCTCAATATGCATCGGATCAAGATTATGGCGTAGAAGATTATCTTTCCAATACGGAAGTTCAAAAAATATGCTTTTATTTTTCCATTGTTGAGGATGACCTTTTGTAGGATCACATTGTGTACTATCACCTTCTATAGGTTGTTCCTCACGTGTTCTTTTTACTGATTTTTCTTTCATTGCCTTTTTACCAAAGATGACTTCAACATCTTTAACCTTTTCAAAAACTTCATGTCCAGATAATGTTCTCAGTGGACTCCGCATTTCTTGTTCACCATTAAAGCGGATCTTGTTCAATCTAAACTTGTGTCTCCGATCAAGGAAACGACAATGACCCATAAAACACCATTTACGACTAGCTTTAAGACGGAGAGGTGTAGTTTGAAAGTTACACGATGGGCAAGCAAGTCATGTGTATGTGTTCCACCCAGAAAGTGAACCCAACCCTGGAAAGTCACTAATAGTCCACATCAAATTTGCATGCAACTTGAACATCTCTTTCTTGAAAGAATCGTATGTATCCACACCACTTGTCCATAACTCCTTCAGGTCTTTGATTAATGGTTGTAAGTAGACATCAATATTATTTCCTGGTGCCTCTTTACCGGGAATTATCATTGACATTATAAATGATGTCTGCTTCATGCAAACCCATGGAGGAGTGTTATATGGTATGAGAACAACTGGCCAAATACTATTGTTTGTACTCATCACACCAAAAGGATTAAAACCATCACTAGCCAATGCAAGACGCACATTCCGTGGATCTGATGAAAACCAAGTATGTGTCAAGTCAAATTTATTCCAAGCTTCTGAATCTCTAGGATGCCTCAACATTCCATCATTGTTAGTATCTGTTGCATGCCATCTCATATCCTCTGCCGTTTTTGATGACAAAAATAATCTTTGTAATCGAGGTTTTAATGGAAAATAACGAAGAACCTTGGCAGGAATTTTCTTTTTTTTCTTGTTAACAGAGACATCCTCATTTGTTTTCCATTTTGAAGTGTTGCAATTTTTGCAAGTCTCCCTCTCCTCATCTTCTCCCCAATAAAGCATACAACTGTTTGGACATGCGGGTATCTTTACATAATTCAAACCAAGTTTTGTGATTGATTTCTTGGCTTCATAGAATGAACTTGGAATGTTTGCATATTCAAATGCATCTTTTATTAACTCTAAAATCATTGTCATTGCCTTCTCACTCAATCCACATAAACACTTTATATGGTACAACTTAACCAAAAAAGATAGTCTTGAATATCGTCTACACCCTTCATATAAAGGTTGTTCTCCTTCTCTAGCCAACTCATAATACTCCTTGGCTTCGTTTCTTTCCTGAGTTGAGCTTGGCATCACATAATCTTCTTGTTCAATCTCCAAATTTGACGCAGATGGTATTTCATTTGAATGATTCCCATAAACTCCAAATGCATCGTTGATCATGTTCTGAATAGGTTCTTCGACAATGTTAGTATCTTCTACCATACTTGGAGTAGTACTAGGGGAGATAGTACTAGATCGTACAAAAGACTCTCCGTGATGGATCCACATGGTGTATCCCTGAGGAAATGGTGACCAACTTAAGTGGTCGAACATGTCACTCCTACTCTTTAATTTTCTGAAACCGCAACGTTTGCAAGGACATATTACTACGTCGTTTTCTTTTGCACCTTTAAATGCAAAATCAATAAATTCTCGTATCCCTTTTTGATACGCAATCGATGATTGTGGCTTAATAATCCATGACTTATCCATTTCTTCAACAAAAAATTATATTTTCAGAATTCTAGTACTTACGAGAACATGTTATTTTGAAAATAAACAATAGAAAAATAAAAGAGATGAGTTTTATTATTGGTTGTTTAATTTGTTTTTACACACTACATAACAAGTTTATAGGTGAAGCCTTGTGATATCAATTAGTATAATACAGTTTCATGTAACAGACATATATGGATAAATACTTCATATCAATATGTTTACTACATTTAGCTAGGTACTTCAAGAATATTTACTTATGTTGTGTCAGTGTGCGAGTGCGACCTTAATATTGCTTTGTACTAGGATTTTAAAGTGCTTTTGCGGTCCCGTATGAATGTGATTGCAAACATTGCAATTTTGGTTATTACAATTGCTTATAAGAATAATGTATTTGTAAAGGCACACTCAAATTTAAGATAAAATTCTTATAAGATAAAATTCTTTAGTCTAACACTATTAAACAGTGATATAGTAAAGGCACACTCAAATTTAAGAATGAAATCATACCTCAAAGACGCACGAGGGTTTGAAGAGCAGCGAAGCAAGTGGAAGAGAAAAGTTACCTGCAACAAAAACCAAAGCAGCATATCAATAGTTGGTAGAAATCATAGATTTATCAAATAGAAATCTTATATTTTTCAACAGCTCATATCCCTTTAAATCCAACAAAAACATTATTATTTACATTCTAGTCCAGAAGACACTTCATGTTTCGGATGCATGAAAATGTGTCATCAAGATTTAGAATTAAAATTTAAAAACTATGTATTTGGAGAATCATATAAGCACCAATTGTCATATTTCCAGAATCATTTTTAGATAAAAATGGAAAGCTGTTAAGAACCATTTTTCAAGTATGTTTCCTACTTAATTCATTCTTACATGTCTCATTAATAGTTGCCCACGTTGCTCATTAATTAGTTTGACTCACGTGCCTAAATTAAACAATGTAATTACCCTTTTCATTTTACCCGAAAATAAAAAATAAAAGAATATTCTACTAGATATTTTAAGTTAGGTGTTAGCTACATCTTTTACTACAACAAGATGATAAAAAATATTCTAAAACATCCTCTATGGCCTTACTTTTAACCTCATCCAAATAAGTAATATCTATTGTTTTTTAATTCTATTGAATCAACACTCTCTCAATCCTTTTGGTCTCTTTGTTTCTCATGAGTATATAAATAACCCAAACCTCCAAATATCTTCTTCATTCAAACTTCAAAACTCACATAAAACATATATTACACACAGTAGGCATATATACAAAATTCCAAGTGTAATACACAGTAGGCATATATTACACACAGTAGGATTAAAATATATATTACACACAGTAGGCATAAAATATATATTACACACAGTAGGCATATATTACACACACTCTTCTCTTTCAAAACCAAAACCAAAACCAAAATCTTCTATACTTCCCTCAAAATTCCTACTGTAATAAAAGTTAAATCATGCGAAGGTCATATAACTCTTTTCCCCTTACAAAACATAATGATCAATTACAGGTCATAAAAGTTGTAGAACAATTAGGAGAAATAACAGGAAACAAGAGAGCAATATTTAACCTTCTCTTTAACACCGTCGACAATAGCCCATGTGTATTTCTCCTCTTGCTTCAATTTTTCTTCCTTCAGAGCTTTCTTCTCCTGCATAAAGGGTTAAGACAGAGTCAACAATTTAAAGATAGATGACATGAATTATGGAAGGTTCAACTGGTACAAGGAAAGAAGATAAGAATTCTCAAAAGAATTCAGAGTATGCAATAAACTGACTGATTCTAGAAAGCCACTCTCCAATTACAACTGAGTTCAAAAACTAACACTCCCTTCCCTCCAATTACTATTTATTATTCAGTTTTACTAATAGAATCAGTTATTCATCTGTTACAACTGTAACTACTATGTATATTCTGTTTTACTTACTGAATTAGTTACTCATTTGTTACAACTGTAATAATTAGAGTTACAAGCTTAATTCCCACTTTTGCCCTTCCTAACATACACCTTTCTAACAGCTGGTCTACTAACAAATTATGGTTCTTGTGTCCTTTTTTATTTTTTTCACAGATATATAGTACAAGCATTACAAACACTGATTTCCATATCTTTTAAAGTAGCAGCTTACTGATTATGATGTTGAAATATAGGGAAACATTACAGCAACCAAAATCAGCATTGATATATATATATATTAATTTACAACTAACTAATCTCAGCAATATCAGAGCTAAACAAATCAATATGTCCTAGTATTTGGCAGCAGATGTATTCAAAATCATAGCAAAACACAGAAACAGCCTTGTAATTATTAACGAAAGGGTCGTAACCAAATGCATATGTTAGTGTTCCATGATCTTGTGGAATTTCTAAAGAGGGTAGTTTCTTTAGTTTTCTAATGGAAGGGTTCCAGAGAACAACATGAGAATTATTGGCTAAACAAATGAGACCATCACATGATGCAATTATATCATCACAGTAGTCTGGATCAATCGGAGAACAAACAAGTTGTGTGGCGTTTGTGGTGAAAAGTAAAAAGTGGTATTGATGGTAAGAACCCCTAAGGCTGTACTATTCAATTAAACATCACATATATGCATTTGAAATGAAAATTAACAGAGTTTCCATGTAGTGGATATGCAAAATCAATAACATCCAGTTTACATATGTTGCATTAATTACTCTATTCAACTTTAATCATTATATTCAACATTCACATGTTTACCTATTACACTATACGGTACGTTAATGCTTTTAGGTTTCTTATAGGATTTTCGTTTTCAATATAATTTGCATCGATTTGAGTCTGTTTTCTTATCTTGTTTCAGCAGCAGCTCCAATAAGTTCAGATTCTTATTGAAAACTTTTTATGTGATGTGAACAAGCTGGCCAGAAAGTTAATCTTCAAAAGTTAGCAAGGAAAGTCTATAGGTATCCCTTTGTTCCACTCAAAAGTTAGCAAGAGTACCTTCAACTACATCATTTAAAGAGTTCAAAAGAGGTTGCAAGGTTGCAAGGATGAGAGAGCTACTCTTATTCAGGCTGTGACTACTGCCCTTCCTTACTATGTTATGCAAACTACTTTACTGCCTGCTCATACTTGTACCCTGCTGCTCTCAATCAGTTTTGAACACTGATTCGAAACTCTTTCAGCTACAATACAAAAGTTTCGTACCCAAGAAGTACAGCTTTTCAGAAGCAAGACAGTTAGAACTCTAAGGCTTTGCTTTTTTGGCAAACTCTACCAAAGTAAGCATGCTTATTGGATTTATGCCGAGTCACTGATTATTGATGAATTTTAATGAAATGAAGTTTTTATTTTATGTATGAGAAACTACAGTTTCTGTATTTAGCTTGTGAAAATGCTGTTAATTTTGGGGGGGGTAAGACTGTTTTATTTAATAATTTTGTATGTATTTGTTACATATTAAATGTAGGAAGGACTTCCATGCAGATAGAGAAATAGAGTTAGAAAAGCATGAAAAATGTCATAAATCTGTGGAGTCAAATCACGAGGAAGATGAACCAGAAGCGAAGTAAGATTCTGAGATTCTTTTAATCCCTACCCCGACCATAAAATAAAGGCAAACTGATTGTGTTCATTTATATTTTTCACAGCTATCCTAAAGGCTTACTTATAGCCTTCAAACTGAAGAGCATTTCTGAGGAAGTTCCTTCAGAAAAGAATAGCACTGATGAACAAGCCAATGGAAATAATGGTGCCGCCAAGACAGATGAACAAAATCCCTCTGAAGTTGCTGCTGCTACTGAGGATAGTGATCAAAAGATGTCAGAAAATGATGCCAATGATAAAGAAAACAATGGCGTGAATGAAGAAAAAGATGCTGAAGGTAAAGAAAAGGAACAAGAAAACAAGGAGGTGAAAGAAGAGAAAGCGGAAGTTGAAGAAAAGGGCATGTTAGAGTTGTATAAGAAAAGCGGCAATGGTGTGAATGAAGGAAAGGCCACTGAAGGTGAAAAAAAGGATCAGGAAACTGAAAAACGTTCAGCTGCTTCATTACTGATATATGCATTTCGTTTAAGAATCAGTACTTCATTACTAATTCAGTACTCCAGTACTTCATTACTGATAAATCATTGTTTAAGAAAATAGGCAATTTTTTTGATTTCACCAATTTATATTAGTTTTCAGCGATTCTAATCGGTCCAGCGACATATTTAATCTAATAATCAAATCAAACCCTAAAACAACAAATTAGAAAACCTAAAAAATCATAAAAAGAAATAAAACCCTAAAACAACAAATTAGAAAACATAACATCAATTCAATATATTCAAACTCAAAATCAATCATCACAAAGAGATCAACCATAAGATTCAAGTGAATCTCCAATGCTGAAATCAATGGCAGAGAATGAGAGAGATGATAACAATGCAAAAAGTGATACATAAAACTTACTGTGTTTGAAGAGATGAACGCAGAGGATGTTAAACTGCTTGCTGTGCATTTTTTGGTGTGAAGATGAGCGGTTTGAAGAGATTCCTTTCGGTGTCAAGGGGTTTCTTTTGGTGTGAATAAGAACGGCATGAACGGCACCGTGAGTAGAAAAAGTGAATGCAGGAGTAGAAAGTGAATTGATGTTTTATGTATTTTAAGAGCTTTTTAACTTTTTTACGGCGACGGGTGTTTTACCGCCGTGCCCATGAGAATTTTTAAAGGTTTTGGGTGCGACGGTTGTTTTACCGTCGTGAAATGAATTTTAGGACGGATAATTTTACCGTCGTGAAAGGTTTAAGGGTGCGACGGGTGCTTTACCGTCGTGATATGCCTTTTAGGACGGTTAATTTTACCGACGTGACTAGTTGTTGGTGAAAAATCAAAGTTAAAAGTGTTAAATGGGGGCCGACGGTTGTTTTACCGTCGTAATAATAATATTATGATGGTTAATTATACCATCACAAAATAAATATTAGGGACGGTTGGTGTCAACTGTCGTAAACACTGTCTCTATATGTCAATTA